AGAGGCTTGTAGGAAGATTGTTGTACCTCTCTATGACTCGTCCAGACATAGCATATGCTGTTGGTGTCCTTAGCCAGTTCATGCATGCACCTAGGTCCACTYATCTTGAAGCAGCGGAAAGAATACTGCGGTATCTTAAGAAGTTCCCGGGTGTTGGCTTATTATTCCAGAAACATGGACATTTGAGAGTTGAAATTTACACAGATGCKGAYTGGGYTGGATCTCAAAGTGACAGAAGGTCTACTAGTGGTTACTGCACATTTGTAGGAGGGAACCTTGTTACTTGGAGGAGTAAGAAGAAAACCGTGGTAGCTAGATCTAGTGCTGAATCTGAGTACCGTGCAATGGCACACGGAGTAGCTGAAGGTATGTGGATAAAGAATCTATTGGGAGAGTTGGGTTGTCCAGTAGACAAACACATGATTCTACTCTGTGACAACAAGGCAGCTATAAGTATCGCTGCCGACCCAGTACTACATGATAGAACAAAGCACATTGAAGTTGACAAGCACTTTATCAGAGAGAAAATCATCACAGGCAAAGTATGCACTCCATACATCAGCTCTGAAGACCAATTAGCAGACATCTTTACAAAGGGGCTAAACCATTCTAGACACCAAGGTCTCTGTGACAAGTTGGGCATGATTGATATCTATGCTCCAACTTGAGGGGGAGTGTTGACAGGTGTATTATATGTACTGTACGCAGGTTTAGTGCCTACAGGGGTATTTTTGTAATTTTTTGTAGTCCTCTTGTGTTGTACGGCCAGTATAGTATAAATACAAATGCTTCACTCGCATGAAGTAGTTCTTTTGAGGCCTTAAGTTTGCAGCCTCTTCTCTCTTCTTCTTCTTCCTTCCTTTCTTCTTCTTCTTCTGCTCAACAGTGTGCCCTTCCATACCACAATGCGTACACCTCCTTGGACCATCATTACGTCTTGTGCCACGAGTTCCCCCTAAATCTCGACCTCCAATACGTCCACTACCACGACTATACATGGGTCCACCACCATCACTACGATCGGGCTGAACTCCCCGAGCTCCACCTTTAACTCCATGACCCTCTCCTCTTGTCACTACAAAGGCAGACCTCTCAGAGATATTAGAGTTCTCTATAGGTCCAATAGAAATCCTCCAAAGTCGGGCAAACACCTCTTCTAGAGAAGGAAGAGTTGACCCACCTAGTATGTGTGCTCTCACTGGTTCATATTCAGATTTTAGCCCTGTTAAAAATCCGGTTACATCGAGTTGCTCCCTTTGTTGTTGTTGAATCTTAACATCAGAAGTGAGGGGGTGGTATACATTCAACTCATTATGAAGATTCCTCATGCTAGCATAGTATTCCTCAAGAATTTGATTACCTGTTGCAGATTAAAGTACTCCTGATAAAGCTGATACACTCTAGTAGTATTGTCTTGTCCAAAGCACAATTTATTGGCATGGTCCCAAATCTCCTTGGTTGTATCTAAGAACATAAAATTTACACTGATCTTGGGTTCCATACTATTCCATAACTAGGTCATAATTTGTGCATCTTATTGTTCCCAGCCACTATGTTCTTGAGATTCAGCAGGAGGTTTTTCTTCTCTTACATGCTTCACTTTCTTCTTACCCCTAAGAAAGACCTCTACGGATTTTGCTCAAGGCACATAATTCTCCCCATTCAATTTGATAGAAGTCATCTGAACATTCAGGTAATTGGGGGGGAACCATAACACTAGACTTGAGATTCAGCAGGAGGTTTTTTTCTTTCTCCCTTTTTTTCTCTCACCTGTATATCACACGCCTAATTCACTTTTCCCACACTGCACACTAATGACAGATTGTTGCTGAAGACACCTACTGTCACATCACAGTTTTCAGCAATAACAGTCATTGATATTCTTCACTCTCAGCACCACAAAACTACCCAAATACACACCATAAACATAGCAACTCACTAACTACTCGATTCACACTGAAACACCCATATAGCCCACCTATTTGATCAACAAAAAACCAACCTGCACTCGACTGTTCACTGTACCACCTGAAACAACCATCTTCGTACCATTGATTAGAGGGTTTACAAACCACCACAAACACCCACTAAACCACAGACCGGAGGAATGAAAACCTCCAAAAGGGAAGGGCAATCACTCCTTTTCGTCCCTTTTCCTTATCTCCAACAGATGATGAAGAAATCTTGAAAACCCTAGGCTGAATGACAATGGAAAATAATTCTGGGCAGATCTGAATTTGTTATAGTGGCTCTGATACCATGATAAAGTTCAGATCTGCACTAGTATTCAGTTAGAAATAGCAGTAGAAGAAGGTTAGAGGAGATAGAAGAAAGAAGAAGAAGAGAAGAAGAAACTGGTTTGAACTAGAGAGTAAAGTCAACTCTCTCTAGTTGGCCAGGTTATATTTATAGTTTGCTATAATAAAACAAAAAGTCTGTTATGCCCCTACTTAAGCATGGAACACATCACTTAACTTAAACATTATACCTCACACCAAACATAAATGAAAAAGACCAAACTACCCCTACACAGTCGACACTAACAGTTACCAAAAAAAAATTATCAATGATGGGTAAGGAAATCAATAAAAAAGCAGTATAATAATTTCTTCCCTACTAGTTATATATAATGGCATGTAATTACAATGGAAGTCGTTTACACTCCTAGAATGTTCATCAGGTAGAGTAAGGATATAGTGGAACTCAAAAGGGCATAAATTTCTTTTTGTACATATTTTCCCTCCCCTCCTTCCGGAGGAGAATTCAGACATTTATTCAAAGGAGGCTCTCTGATTAGTGCTCCTGATGACCCGGGAGTTGCATGAATTGGAGGTGACTTTTTTTGGCATGGAGGCGAAATCTTATTGGACTATGGCAACCCCACTGGGGATGCCAACTCCACCAAGATTGAGGTCATTACTTTTCTGAAGGGGCTTAGAATTGCAATGCAACAGCACTTGAAACCTTTCTTCATTGTAGGTGACTCAGTTAATACAACCAGATGGATTCAAATTATAGAAAGTGGTCCTTGGATATCGGCTCATTTCTGAATAATATTAGGGACTTGATTGTGCTCCTTTCATCTCACATTATATGGGTTCTAGGTTATCAAATACAACTGCAGAGAAGAAATTGGGTACAGCAGGCTTTTTTGTATAACGATAACTTCTTACCTCAGTGAAGGAGGCTGTGTCTTTTTTTTTCCATAGCTTTGTATATTCTCTCATGTATATTTTTTACCCCTATTTGTTGAATATACATGTCACTTTTTTTTTTTTTCTGAGAAAAATGATTTCTAGCTCTGTTAATCTTCCATTGATATGTCCAGCAGACTTCTCCTGTTGCATGAACTGATATTATTTGATGGTAACTTCTTATTGTTTCTATAAGTTCTAAGGGGGATGTTATCCTTTCAACCTGTTCATAAGAATGTAAGCTAGCAATCCACTACTTCTAATTCATTTTGTTTCTGATTGTTTTACCAGAGTGGTTTGTATTTATTGGTCGTCAAGCTGACCTTGATGTCCCCGGTTCACCATATGCCATTAATTTCCGATCAAGCATCTTTGAATCTTCTGGGATGAAGCCTATGAATGTGTCTGTTTATTCATGTGGTGACACTTCTCTTGGCTGTTCTTGTGGTGATTGCCCTTCTTCTTCCACATGCTCTGGTTCTGCACCCCCTCTCCCTCACAAGAAACATTCTTGTTCTATTAGTATTGGGTCCCTAAAGGTAAGGAGGAATGCTATATAGAACAATTGATTCTTTTCGTTTATTTACAGTTTTAGGAACTCAGTTACTTCAGGATGTATTCGTTGCATCAATTTCTTACAATATTAATGATTAGGTAATACCATGGGATATGGATATTTATTTGTACCTCTTCTTAGTTTTGCATCCTTATCATCTTGGTCATATCTTCTGATTACTGCAGGTCAAGTGTGTTGAATTTTCATTAGCCATTCTATATATTGTATTGGTTTCTTCATTCTTGGTTTGGGGCTTTTTTCACCGGACAAGAGGAAAAAAGGGCCCAGTTTCCAGGTTGAAACCTTTGTTGAATGCTGTGGATGAAAGCGAACTCCATTCTGTTAACAAGCAGAAAGATGATATCCAAACCATGCAGGTGTGTCTCATGTACCATTGATGTACATTTATAAGTCATGCAGTATTGTAATATGTTTAAGATGCAAAACCAAATACTTACAAATGAACTGCAAGGATCGCAGATTCAAATCTAAGCACTTTGGATAGCATTTGGATTAACAACTGTTTGTATGACAACTCTCCAAAACTGGACATGGGTGTTTATATTGAACACCAACCCCCTAGCCACTTCTAAAACATAGTATTTTGTTCTTTCAGTCACACCATCTTGCTTTGTATCAATAGTACAAGATAATTGGTGGATAATGTTTCTTTCCCCTAGATAATTGCTATAATCAAATCCAGGTTTCATCATACAAGTCCATTAATACTGCTAGTTTGATTTGCTAAAGACTTCTTAGATGGATAGTCCAGAAGGTTAATCCCAGTGACTTCACAAGTACTCTAATCATCTTTTCTGTGCCTAGGCCCTAAAAAAATACAACAATCAAGAAAGAAGGTTGTACAATTTTAAGTATTACTTATTAGTCAAACTATTAATTTATTTTGATCAGCAGAAGAAAAGATTTATTATAATAAATTGGAATTGAAGTTAGTACATATAGGAGACAGGACTTCCCACCCAGAAAACTACACTAAGGATTACATAGTAGCCCAAAACAATTGCTGCCTCATAAGCCCTTGCTCAGCAAGGGAATCAGCAAAGCCATTTGCAGTCCTTCTCACCCATTTAAATTCAGCATTTATGTCCTTTGCAATACTTCCTACTTCCTGAAAGCATGTTTAAGAGTCCACAGAGTATGTCTGTTACAGTTAGCCCATGAAACAATTAGCTTTGAATCCCCTTCCACCTCCACCTGTCTGTAACCCAATTGTTTTGCTAATGGAAGACCTTCCAGCAAAGCAAATAATTCAGCTTTCAATGAGTTCCCCATTCCAATAGGTCCTGAATATAGATCAGTATCCTGCTTTCCCAATTCCTGAACACACCACCTATTCCTGCCTCTCTTCCCAGACAACCCAAACTATTGCCGCCTTTGTAACACTCCACAATATCCCCCCTCTTTTTCTTTGGTTGCCTCAAAAGGAAGATAGATGAACCAATTCTGCCATGCAGTTTGAAACTTCTCTCTTCGTCCCCCCTTCCCCTCACCCACCCCACATACCCATTCTTTGAGATGCCTCATTCACATCTCCTACTTCCCTTACCTCTTTAAGCTAGGATTTGCCACCTCCCAAGAACACTTCTTGCTATTGCCTATCTCTCTGCCTAGGCTTTTCCATAAACAAGCAGATTGTCTATCTCCTTATTACATTCCTTTGCCTTGCTATCTCTACCCTATCCAGATTCTATTACAAGTTTTTCACTTTCCTCTCCCAATTACCCCAACATTTCTTCATCTAAAGCTTCCCCACCCAAGAAAAAAACAAATGCAACAATATTTATGCCTTCCCATGATTAATCATCTGCTTCAAAAGTATTTTCCTATTCAAAGGAATACCTTGACACAGACCCCCACCTCCTCTTCTAGATTCTTATCAGTCATTTCTACAGACGAACCATTGCCACTTTCGTCTCCATTAGACTCCACTGCCATTGAATGGGTGATCTTGCACTTATGATTCCTCACATTTAGCTGAGTAACAAGAACCATGAAAGCTCTCCTACACTCTCCATCCTTGGTTTTGAAGAGGTGATTCTATGATTACATCCAATAATATCATGGGTTTAACATCTCATGAATTTGACATCTGATGCCAGGAAACATTAGCCTAACCTGAGCACCAAAAGTGATATCCACCAGAAATAGATGATGGCTCCCCTTAGATTCCTCTTCCTTAGGAACTGGAAAGAAACCATCACCATGCTCATGCAGCTTGAAATCTTCAAAAGTACTGGCAAAGCATTTGGGATTGATTTGATGCCAGCCACGTCATCTCTGGAAGCAATGATAGTGGGTGGAGCCACTATTTCAGGGAACCCTTTGCACCACATGGAATGATCATCTTCCAGTGGACCCACTGGCAGAAAATGAGACATACTTTAATCTCTTCATGCCATAAACAGAGGAATCAATGTGAGTTGCTAATAAAAATAACAAGCAGAATTTGGACTTCCATGCTTTGAAGATGGGCCATATCTAGCTAGTGATCCCCTTTGAAGCTTCTTTGAAACCCCAGTTCTCTTCCCCTAGTCCTCTTTACAATTCTCACCTTACTTTTATCTATAAGGGTATAAACGGAAACTATTTGTATGTCACTGTTATTAATTTATTTGGTCTTCTTCCACTGTGATTATTGTTGAATTTCTTTTTATTTTTTTGTTTCTTTTTCTTTATGATTTCTAGATACATGACGAGGTTCAAGTGGTGAATGGTGTTCAACTTTCTGTTGTGCAAGGCTACATATCAAGTTGCTACAGGTCATTGCACCTGCTGTCATTTCCAATGTTTATGAATTATAAGAGCTAAATATTTTGTGTTTATTAAACAAAAGAGTCTTGTTCATTGCATGTCTTTTCTATGTTCAGGAGATATGGAACATGGGTTGCTAGAAACCCAATGCTTATTCTATGTTTGTCATTGGCTGTTGTTCTTCTGCTCTGCTTAGGTCTAATTCGTTTCAAAGTGGAGACACGGCCTGAGAAGGTAAACAATAAGCTTTCACATGACGTTTTTATCAGCTTCTATACCCAAACTCAACTATATGGAGGGCTTCCATGTCACATGACTTAATAATGTCCATCTCTTGCATACTATGTTCTGGATGTTTATTACTTTATTACATTATGTTCTTGTGTGGTCATTCTATATTTCAGCACTCTATGATATGCACCCAAGGAGCAAGTTGTGAATCTTGTGATCAAAAGGAGAATGTTTTTAAGCTATTTGGAACAGGAAAGATCTATAAATAATTTCCAACAGAACTGATGACAAAAGACTTGTGAGGCATATTGATAACTCTATTTCATCTAAAATAAAACCATACCAACAGTAGACTTGACCTCTCCATTCTAGTCTGGTCTTGACCATAATCATCTCCATTAAATTGGATATATATTTTTTTGTTTTTTTTAAATTGGATAAAGATGCTCTTATGATAACATGTGGCAGTTACATGACAACTTGAATAAAATTTGAGGTTGAAAGAAACTTGTTTAGATGATCAAAGGAAACAACATGAGATTATTAGGGCTAGACCATTCATTATCTCCATTAAGTTGGATAAAGATGTTGAATTCGGAGAGCTTCAAAGGAATATCCAGGAATATGCTTCAGCAGAATGTGGTGGAATTGTTATTCTCATCTCCCAGTCCTCCAAGAGGGAAGAGCCTCCCTCATCAAGGAGAGGAGAAGGAAGTGACTTTATATTTTGATGGAAGTGCAAGTGGAAACCTGGGAACAGCAGGAATTGGTGGTGTGTTTAAGAGAAGGGATGGTCATCCTATTGGGGCTTTTAGTGGACCAATTGGGGCTGCAGACTCCACAACGGCAGAAATTTTATCTGCTTTAACGGGGCTCCGTATCATCAGAGATCTAGGCTTGACTCATCTAACAATCAAAGGAGACTCCAGCAACACGATAAAGTGGCTGGGGAAGAAGGAAGGAGGACCTTGGAGATTGGCCCACTATTTAAATGAGGCTAGATATCTGTTAAATCCTTATCTGTATACATTTGCTGGATTCTTAGGGAAATAAACTCTGTAGCTGATAGTTTGGCTAAATCTGGTACACACAGGGATATTTTGTACAATGATAGAAATATGTCTTTGTAACCTCTGTGTAGCCTGATTGTACATCATCTCATGTACTCTCATTTCTTTCTTAATCAAGTTAACCTTTTTTCTCAAAAAAAAAAAGATGCTCTTATGTTAGCTTGTAATAGTTACATGACAACTTAAGTAAAATTTGAGTTTGAAAGAAACCCTACTTAGATACTCATAGGAAACAACAATAGGGAGATACTCTAATGAGACTTCTTCTTCTTCGTCTACTGCTACTACTATGTTGTGTGAATTCAATTACAAAATATGATCATGATGTAATAACATGCAGACCCTGATTGATATCCCATATTCCTATTTATAGAGATTGTTTCTAGGCATTCTACTACTACTAAAATCCTAGTGAGATCATTCTAGCTATATGTTCATAATATTTTCACATACTGTTGCAGCTATGGGTAGGTCATGGGAGTAAAGCTGCAGAAGAAAAACAATTTTTTGACAGCCATCTAGCACCATTTTATAGAATTGAACAGGTATTGTTTTTTGCTATTGATAATCTTTATTACTGCTTTATGGTTCTTGTTTCCATTATATGTAGGGTTATAAGCTGGTTTCAGCTTTTAGTCTAGCTTAGCCCCAAGCATGAACCTAGCTCAGGATGACAAACTCACAACATGTGCTGTAATATAAAGGTGTAGTTGTTTGATGAGTCAAGTGTACTAATCTATTTCTGTTTTATGCATTTTGAAAGAAATTGTATCTTGTAGATTACCAATGATATCATGAAATGTTATGTTATTCTATGTGCTTGAGTCTATGCTGATGTTCAGTCAGCTGCATAAGGTTTATTCGTGTTTAACAATTGCCTTAGACACACGTGTTGAGATTAGCAAGGAGTCACTATTCTAAGTTAAAGTTCTATTAGAAATCTTCTAATTCCCTCTTAGCTTTATTCCCAAGGGACAATGATTTCATAACTTGCTAGTTTATTGGTACGGTTCCACCTCACTGCTAATAGTTGGAGATGACAATAATGACACCATAAACCACTGTATCTGTATGACATTATTTTCCCCAAATCCAATAAATGTGTTGAAATGACATTGAATTGGATTTTCAATGGAGATATTAGGTGTATTCTTTTTCCTGAGGGTTTGTTGTTCATATGATAATTGATAAAGCTTTGTGAGGAACAAATGACATAGCACTGAATGATTGTTCTTTTTTCATCTTTGTTTCAGCTTATATTAGCAACAATTCTTGATTCAAAGCATGGGAGCCCACCAAGTATCGTGACAGAAGATAACATTCAGTTACTCTTTGAAATACAAAAGAAGGTATTAGAGTAATTGTTGTTACTTTTCATGTATTTTTCAATAAAGTGACATTTCCTTGATATAGGAGGTATCATCTACTAGTAAAACAGTACAAGAAATCTTATAAGCATCTAAAGAGAATTTACAAAATTGATGAAGATTATTTAGTATCTCCTTCAAAATAAACTTCCCTATTCCTCTGTAAGACCATTTCTCACAAGATACAGTTGAGATATGGTCCAGAGGACCAGATGGAACAGAAGGCCATGCTGTAATAACTCATGAGGTTCAGAGGAAGAAACCTGTCCAACCTGAAACATCAATAGGAGTTGGTGGACCTCTTGGCTCTTTTTCATTTCCTGACTAATTTTCTTTGGGAGCTATTGGTTTTCTTTTTAATTCTCATCCCCACATTTGTGATGTTGTCGTTTTGTGGCTCTATATTTTGGTGGGTTGTACTGAAGCCTTTTATTTGGGCTACATTTCCCCGATTTTCTATTTATAGGGACTCCAGATCTGATAGAAACAAGATGTACCATGAACTGACATGGTTGCATATGATTTGTTGTTTCTAACCTGGTTTCAACAACTTGTTTCTAGCACATCCAGACCCATTTGTAGGAGCATTTGGAAGGAAAGGAACTATAAAATTTAAGGAAAAGAGAGATATTTAGCTCATCTTTGTCTGGATGCTTGCCCCTTCTCATGGACTGGTTCTTTTAGGAAGAGTAGAAGTTCAGGACTGTTATCAGTCTTGAACCCTAATGGATTTCAGGTTCGAAAATAAGAAGAAAGGTAAAGAGAAAGGAGGAGGAAGAGGGAGGAGAAGCAGTAGAACACAAGAGTTGAAAAGGA